GTGTCTGTGTGTGTGTGTGTGTGTGTGTGTGTGTGTGTGTGTGTGTGTGTGTGTGTGTGTGTGTGTGTGTTTGCATAGCCAATCTCCTAATTAAGGGACATGCACTGAAATGGAAAGTATTTTTCTAATTATAGAAATGAATCTAGCACATCAAAGATACTAAGGTCATTGTTTTATTCTCAGCTTCCTTTGAGAGCTTGTGTCTGCTCAGCCTAATACTCCCCCAGATTATTATTGTAATGGTATTACTAGGCATTAGTCTCAAAATTAATTTCAGGTTAACAATCTTTTGCTTCAGTCAACATTCAGTGTGTCCAAACAAAAACAAGTGACATAGTTCAGCTTGCTCTCTGACCAGAATTCGCTTCCTTCCCCGTGTCACACAATAGCTCTTACTCACGTTTCCTGTGGTATATAAGGTCAAACAGTTGATGGTTTCTTTTTTTTTTAAGAGCTTGCTCAACATGGGTTTTTGACATTTCCCCACAGCTCAGACATCTTCCGCGGCAGATTTTAATAATATCTTGACCCATAACCTTTTGCTTCAAAATTGGTTTGGGCAAGAAATCAAAAGTAGGAGCGTGTCTATATTAAATATTGATTTTTTTAAAGACCTCTTTTTTTCTTGTCCTTTCTTCTAAGAAGGTAAAAGAAGACAACAAAGGGGTTAATAACCTTTTAAAACTTCACCCATTTTTCCCTTTATCTTTATTTTTGGTTTATAATAGTATTGTTTGGGTAATATTTAATCTCACAACTACAAATATGTACTAAAACATTTTTAATAAAATGAATTAACTTACAAATGTGACTTTGTGATACTCGATCAAGGATGAGTTTAATCCAAAACAAAACGTGCCAGACAGTGGTGGTACACACCTTTAATCTCAACATTCAGGAGGCAGAGGCAGGCAGATCTCTGTGATTTCCAGGTCTGCCTGGTCTACAGTGCATTCAAGGACAGCCAGAGATACACAGAGAAATCCTGTCTTGAAAACACAAAACTAAAAGCAGAATATAATTTGAAGAAGTTAATTTGGAAAGAACACTTATTTCAATTATTATTACTACTACTACTACTACTACTACTACTACTACTACTACTACTACTACTACTACTATTTGGTCTTTAAAGGAATCTTGTTACCCATCACAAATTGGCCTCAAGTTTGCAATCCTCCTGCATGAACCTCCAGGGTACTGAGATTACAGGTGCACATCACTGTGTCCAATTTGTTATTTCAAAATTTTAAGGGTGCATTTTCTTTTTTATTTAATTTAGAAACAATCTTATTTTACATGACAATCCCAGTTCCCTTTCCCTCCCATCCTCCCATGTCCCCCACTGACCCTCCCATCCCACACCCCATCCACTACCCAAGGAGGGTGAGGCCTTCCATGGGGATCATCAAGTCTGTGACATTATTTGGGGGAGGGCCTAGGCCCTCCTCTGTGTATCTGGGCTGAGAGAGTATCTCTCCATGGGGAATGGGCTCCCAAAGTCTATTTGTGCACTAGGGATAAATACTGCTTCCACTGTCAGAGGTCCCATAGACTGCCCAGGCCTCCTAACCAGCACCTACATTCAGAGGGCTTGGTTTGGTCCAATGCTGGTTCCCCAGCTTTATGACTGGAGTCCATGTGCTCTCACTTGGTCAGGTCAGTTGTTTCTGTAGGTTTCTCAGCATGGTCTTGACCCCTATGCTCATCCCTCCTCCCTCTCTACAACTGGATTCCAGGAGTTTGGCTCAGTGCTAAGCTGTGGGTATCTGCTTCTGCTTCCATCAGCTACTGGATGAAGGCTCTAGGATGACATACAAGGTAGTCATCAATCTCATTATAGGGGAAGGGCATTTAAGGTAGACTCTCCACTATTGTTTAGATTCTTAGTTGGGGTCATCCTTGTGAGTCTCTGGACATTTCCCTAGTGCCAAATTTCTCTTTTAAGGGTGTATTTTCATTGCACATTGTACTAGTTTCATTTCTGTTGCTGTGATAAAAACACCCTGACCCAAAATCAACTTAGAGAAGAAAGGATTTATTTTGGCTCTGATTCTAAGCTACGATCCGTTATTGTGAGGAAGTCAAAGCAAGAACCGGATCCATCATCTCCACAGTCAGAACACAGAGCAAGTAAATGCTCGGATCTCTGCATTTTTTATTGCTATCTGTCTCTGTACTGACTCAGTTCAGAGACCAGCCTAGAAGACAGTGCTGCCCACCTTCAGAGTGGACCTTCCCAAGTCAATTAACTCAGTTAAGAAAATTTCTCACCGATGCCCACGTGCAATCTAATCAAGACAATCCCTCGCAGAGTCTGTTCTTCCTGGTGATTTTAGATTGTGAAGATGAGGAACACAGGCACGATTCCACAATCAGCAGGAGTATAATCCACTTTCTATTGAGCTCTTCCATTTGCCAGATATTGGGCACACTGACCCCTGCCAGGTCAGTGCAGCTACAATGTGCTACCACACAGCTCCCGTCCAGATTTCATATTCATAAATGGGACAGGATTTGGAGATAAAATTATATTATACAACTGGCTCCTAATCCAATGAAACTGCTTCAAAAAGAGGGGAGTAGAAGGGCTCTTCCAACATGAACCCTGAGACAAAGCTATGCAAAGTCAACAGCCAAAAGTTCTCCTGTAGTAGCCAGAATGGGAGACTCACTGAACCCTGCCATGCTGGCCCTCTATGGGTAGCTGCAACCTCCAGACTCTGAGAAAGTCAATTCCATTGGCAAAGCCATGCAGATTGATCCCTGGCATTAAGAACTGGTGGTTACCATACTTGTCTCCATTGTGTGGATTTGGAAACAAATCAGTAGGTTATCAGCACAGGCCATTTGAACCTAAGGGTGTCTCTATCAGCCTGCTCTTCAGCTCTCCCTCTGAATCAGGAATTGACAAATATTGAACTAACCTCTCGAAAATTCCCCAACCTCTGGCTGTTGTTTTTCTTTTAATTTTCTGGGTTTAGCAAATACACAGGAAACCAATGAACTGTTCTGCCTCCTTGTCCCCATCATTTGGGTTTTGTGTTTTAGCAAGAAGTTATTATTTAAGATAACAGAATTCTATGTTGAGAATTGAAAGAAAAAATTACTGTCAATTTCCCTGAAATCTAAATAAACCCAGGATTTGCTCTGGCTGCATTTGCTTTCTATAAAACATCATAAACACAAAATAAGCAGTGTTGTGCCTGAAACTAATTGGCAGTGTCCCCAGTGTCATATTACAGCCAGCTTCTATTAATTGGATTAGGGATTCGGTGAGAATGGCAGCTGGTAGAGGCTTTGCAGTTACTGTGGCTCTCTGTAATCCCTGCAGCAGAAATAACCATGTAACAATATCAGAGAGTGACCATGATCAGGCTCAGGCATTTGTTTTCCTTCTATTGGGAAGGACATGTGTGTGTGTGTGTGTGTGTGTGTGTGTGTGTGTGTGTGTGTGTGTGTGTGTGTGTAGTGCACATGTGTGTTCACATAGTGGGAACTCATGTGTTTAGGTGTGCACATGCACACAGAAGGCAAAGGGTTGATGCTGGATTCATTACTCAGTCCCTCTCCACTTCTATATCTAGGCAGGGTGTCACATTTGAACCTAGAGTTTGCCAATTCTGGTAGCCTAGACAGCTTGCCCAGAAGGTCCTTGCATTTTGGGATTACTCAAGGTCACTTGGCATTTACGTAGGTGCATGGGGTTTGACCTTAGGTCCTCGGGTTGTGCAGCAAGCACTATATCTGCTGAACCATCTCCTTTGCCCTTTCCTTAATTATTTCCTTGAAAATTAAAAAAAAAGAAGCTAAACTCACTTTCTCCCCTTGCAGGCTTTCTCCGGCCATCTTTTTATACCTGATCAACATCATGCCATCCTTGTGGCTCCTTGAAATGCACCATGGAAACCAGGTACTTATTTCTTAAAAGCAAAAGACAGTGATGTTCAGCAACAATCCACTTTCAGAATAGGACATAATTTGTTTCAGTTATATACTTCCCCAAGGGTTTGGAATTATCTAGCATTAAAGAAATAAGAGGCCAGGGACAAAAGACAGTGACATCATAATCTATCAAAAATAAATGAAATAACCACAATTACTTCTGAGTTACACTTATTTAACCAACACCTGTTGTGGGCAATTATCTTAGTCAACTTTCTATTGCTGTGGTTAAAATCATGGTCCAAAGCAACTTGGGAAGGAAAGGGTTTATTTGGCTTATATGCCTAGTCACAGTCCATTGAGGGAAGCCAAAGCCAAAAGGCAAGCAAGAGCAGAAAGGCAGGAACTGAAGCTGAGGCCATTGGAAGAGTGCTGCTTACCAGCTTACTCATCACCGCTTGCTCAGACTGCTTTCTTACAGAAGCAGGACCACCTGCCCGAGAGTTGCACTGTCCAGAGTGAACTGAGCTCTTCTACCTCAATCACCAATTAAGAAAAAAAATGTCTCATAAACTCACCTACAGGCCAGTTTTCTGGGGCCATTTTTTTTCAATTGAGTTTTCCTCTTCTCAGATGACCCTAGGTGGTATCAAGTTGACAATAAAATGAACCAATCAGCACAGTGATCTTCTTCTAAGAGCCATCCTCATTTTCCTACCACATGCTAGCTAGAGTTCCTAGGGAGATGTAAAAATGATATATTTACCTATTGATATTTGTATGTGTATTGTGAATGTGGTGTGTGCATATGTATCTGGTATATATACATGTGCATATCTGGAACTCTGTTCTTCCTGCAGAAGCCCACAGAAGATAGCCTGCTCTCCTCTGTCACTCTCTGCCAAATTTCCTTAAGGCAAGATCCGTCACTGAACTCTGTCAGCAAGCACAGTCTGTCCCTGCCAGCTCTGGGGTCACAGGGTCATGCAGAAGAGCATAGCTTTCATATGGGTGTTGGGAATTGGTACTTAGGTCCTCATTCTTGCACAGCCAGTACTTAGCCACTAAGCCATCTCCCTATCTCTGTGAGTATGCTTTAAGGCTTGCAGCTCTAGGGGGTTCCAAGAAGTTATGATAAGAGTCTCATTATGCTAAGGCCTGTTCTGGCATTAGTGGGAAGACATTTTTAAGAAACACAAAAGTAAAAAATGAAACTGCATTTTAAAAAAAAACCCTTTATCTGTGCTCACATGAATGCATTCAAACTTCTAGGGATCATTGTAAACACAAGGAAAGTGGATTCCAGGAGACACACTCTTGGAGTTTGCTGGGACTTCACAGCAAAACAGAAATCTGTGGGTTTTGAAGAGAAGCTCAGCAGTTAGAAGCGCTTGCTGCTCTTGCAGAGGACTGGAATTCAGATCCCAGCTCCCACATGTGGCTGCTCACAACTGCCTGTAACATTTCTAGGATATCTAATAATGCCATTTTCTGGACTCTACAGGCATCTGCATGCATGTGGGGGTGCATGCGCATGCACGCGCATGCACGCGCATGCGCGCGCGCGCACACACACACACACACACACAATTAAAAATAGAAATAGAATAAAATCTTCTTCTAGGGCACTGATATTAAAGATAAGAGAGTGATATCATGGAGCCCATCACAGGAAAAGGTATCATACTCATCAACCACAAGGGAAATGACCATGACTTCCAGTCCAATCCCCATCAGTTCCCATCACTCATGTTTGTTTCATGAGTCACAGACTAACCTGGTATTTGCTATGGTAACCCAGGCTGGCCCTGAACTTGAAGCAATCTCCTACCTCACCTTCCTGAGTTCAGACATTCCCCAGCATACCTGACTTATATAGTGTTCTAAATATTGACCTACTTCCTCTGTGGGCTTGTCTGGCTCATGGGCTCAAGACTGAGTCGGTCACTTGTTTTTTGTTAACTCTCCTGTAGGAGCCTTGGAAGCTTCAGTGATAAAATAAATGCTTCAGGCAAGATTTGCTCAAAATTGACCCTGTATAGATTTCTTTTCTACAGCTGTTATTTTATATCAAGGTTGAGTCTCCAATTTATATGTAACTCTATCTAAAAATGCTTCCTGCAAACTTGAAGCACAAAGAGAGTAATTTACCTTTGTGGATCCCTTTTGACAAAACTCCCAAGAAAATGTCAATCATGTTGCCATGAAGAAAACATTTCTCCTCCTCAAACCTCTTGCTGAAATTCATTAAAGTCCAAGGCAACCTCAATGTCTGCATTAGAGTATTTTTGTAACTGTAGATTGGTTGCTTCAAGTCACCATGGCTTTGATAAAAAGACCACAAAGGGCTAGGGGGCCACTTGAGTCTCCTTTCAGGACAATGAAAATAAGCTGTGGTGATTTAAATCAATTTCCCCTCCACACATCTGAGTCTATGACATGGCTACCATCCACAACAACAATTCATTTCTCCCAAATGCTTTCATAATATAAATGTATTACACAGCTAATTGATATACAGGTCAAATCCTATTATAACCAATAGCATGCAACCAAAACCTCTTTTGTGTGGTGGGGGGGGGGAGGAGAGAGAGAGTTTTAAGCCTTGGGCAGAACTTCTGTGATTTTCATACTACAAAAGAAATCGAACTTTTATTGCTGTGATTTGACGCTGAAAATGAAAATGAATACCCAGATATTGAGGCAGGCAGGGCAAGCAGAGATGGAAGTTAAAAAAAGAGAGACAGAAATATTGGGATTATGTTTAGAGAAATAAGTGGCATTTTGGAATTGAGGGAGATAGAGAAATCCCCTCTGTCCTCTGGTTGTTGTTATAGTCACTTTTGTTTCATGGAACCTGACATTTCACAGAATTTTCAGATAGATTTTTTCTCACTTAGAGATTTAAGGACCCCATACATTAGGCATGGTGCCGATATTTCTGTTTTATAGAAGAGGGCCCTGGGGCTTAGAAGACTTAAATTCAGAGCCAACACCTGGTCCAGAAGAACACACTCTCTAATGTCTCAGGGAAGCTTGCATAAGGCTCATCTGAGTTTTTCCATGATGGAAAAGAATCATTTACTTTTCACTTATGAAACTAGAGAGATGGATGGATGGATCAGTGATTAAGACCACTTGCTGTTCTTGCAGAGAACCTAAGTTCAGGTCTTGACACCCGCTGGACCCACAACATCCTGTAACTCCAGCTCCAGGAAATCTGACACCCTTTTCTGGCCTCCTCAGTCACCTGCAGGGATGTGGCATAAAAACTCAGAGAGGGATTAGCCGGGCAGTGGTGGTGCACGCTTTAATCCCAGCAGAGGCAGATGGATCTCTGTGATTTTGAGACCAGCCTGGTCTACAAGAGCTAGTTCCAGGACAGCCTCCAAGCCACAGAGAAATCCTGTCTCAAACAACAACAACAACAACAACAAAAAACAAAAACAAAAACAAAAAACTCAGAGAGGCGTACACATACACATCATTAAAGACAAAAAATATGTCTTGCTTTCCATTCATATTTTCCACTTATTCACATCATAATTGTTCTAGATGACCTGTTTTATACCTTCGTTCCTGAAATAATGTGAACTACACACATGGAAACAAAAATGTCCTAAGGATTTCCATTCTAACAGTGTGTGAGCGCTGCTTGTGACAGAGCTCACTGAAAGGAATGGGAATGCCCTGCTCCTCATGATATCCTTGTTAGCTTTGAGTCAGAGATATTTTAGGTTTTAATGACACAGCCATATGAAGTTCCTTAACTTCAGAAACCCCTTGTATGATGATGCCTACTAAAATGACAGACACAAAAGCAGAGCAAAGCAAATTAGGGGTAAGGAGTCAGCCACCTGTTTGTGGCAGCCTTGATGTGCAAAGGAAGGTTTCATATTTCTAGAACTGAGTAACAAGGAGAGGAGCTCAATTAGCACTGTGATGCACACACGCTAAGTTGTTTGCTTCTGCATTAGAAGGCACTGCCTCGGAGGGTGTTATTTTCTTTTAATAGCAAGTTGTTTATGGAGTTTTAGAGATAAAGGCATCAGAACCTATCACCTCACCACTGTTAGTACACAGTATGTTTTCATGCCTATAAAAAAAGTGATCAAAATTTTGTCTGTAGTTACAGTTTCATAGTTAGGCTGATAAAACTACTCTGCAAAAGACGATTTGGGTTTGGATCAAAGATGAAATGTTTTGTCTCCATTGTTTCTTCTTGAAAACTTAGTGGCGTGTATGTAAACACATGTGCACATGTGTGCATGTACACACACATGCACATGCACTCACATGAACATGCACACACATGTAAACACATGCACACATGTGTGCACCCACATTCACATACACACACTAACTTGCACTTTCACTTGCATGTACACACGTACATATGTGCACACCCACACGCACAGACACAGATAGTGTGCATACTCCTAATCATGCTATTTCACTTACAAAACTAGTCACTTAGGTGGAGAGCAGAAAATAATGGCTTCTTGGCAGACTTTACTGTCTACTTGTCAAATAGCTTGTGAAATAAATGGCATGGTATTGAGAATAACAGAGAAAAAAATCTTTTCTTATAGATTTAGTTCTTTTCTCCCAATAATTTCTCTCTAAAGAAATATGTGAGCATGGAGAACAGTGGTGATGGTGGTGGTTAGCAGGTGGAAGCAGCTCTCTGTCTCTGTGTCTCTCTGTCTTCCTCTTTGTGTCTCTTTATCTGTCTTTGTCTCTCTCTATTTCTGTCTCAGTCTCTGTTTGTCAGCTGTGTCTGTGTAAGTTTTTATAAAACATGCAAGCACTGCAGAAGCTTAGAAAGGGTCAACCACTCTAAAGTCAGCCAAGTGTTGTCTCTTTGTTGTCTCATAAAATTTTCCACCTCATATTCTATCTCAGTTTCCCAGTATCTGGCTAGGTAAGATTATAGACCATTCGTTTGCAGAAATTCATGTACAGCACAAAGAAAGTAAAGAAGGAAATCATCTTTTAGGTCAATAATCCAGTTTCCCACAGCCCTAGGTTGCCTTAGTAGCAACACTGGATTACTGACTTGTATGTGCCAAGCCTGGCCTGAAGGGTGAAAGTAATTAGATTATTTATTTAACTGGAATGTTATTTTTAGATAGAGAGCTTTCTTGGTAAGAAAGCAAACTCATTAAATAAATGTCTTCTCAGAGTTTGTATCACAAATGTTCCAACAAAGGTTCAAGAAAGGGACTCTGGTTACTGCCACATAGATTTTATAGCTTTCTATGGTGGTTCAGCATCTGTATCCTTCATGCTATGGGAAAGGGGGTCTGGCAGTGAGTGCTGTCCACAGGTACCTCCACCTCATGTTCTGGTCTCAGGTAACATTTACACGGTCACTGAAAATGTCCCACATCACCATCATCGTCTCCTGCACGGAGTGAAGCTGCTTTGCTGTGACTTTGTTGTGATAGCTTTTCCATACCTGCTCTCCATTCTTAGTATTGCAGTGCCCAGCCTGAGAAACCAGCACAGAACTTCAGCAGAAGAGGAGATGTCAATCAAACCCTGACATCCCATGGACACACCAATGGAATGGGAAATATCCTTGACCTGGTGAGAGTTTTCCCATTTATGATTAGCTTCATAAAGTTGCAAGTTTAGGGTACAAGAATTGTAAAAGAAGACATATTTTATTCATTAAACCCATATCACCTTCAAGATCATGTACATTAGGAACACAACTCTTACAACAAGTGTATAAAAACATTAACCAAAATGGATCATATTACAGCATACTAATTATATCGTCACAAATGTATGTGCTCTATGTCTATATTTTATATAGAGTTGCGTATAATAATATCTTCCTTTAATCAGAGCAAATTCAAATTTGCAGCACAACTGAGAGGAAGGTAGCTGGATTATCCATATACGTATTTTCTCTCAGAGATACACAATCTCCCCTCTTGCACCATGGTGATATATTAGTCCAACATCTGTATAGATTTGAGAGGCAGGGTATCACATGGCCCAGGTGATCTAAAAACTCACTATGTAGCTGAGAATGACTTTGAACCTTCAATCTTCCTGCCTCCACCTTCCCCATGCTAGGATTATAGACATGTACCACCACATCATGTATGTGTGGTGCTGGGGATTGGACCCAGGGCCTCATGCATTCTAGGGACTCTACCAACTATATCTACAGTCCGGATATGTTTAACCAAAAAATTGATGAGCCTACATAGATGTGTCATCGTCACTGAATGTCTACAGTTTAGATAAGAGTTCACTTGAGGTATTGTATGTTCTATGGGTTTAGACACATCTATTACAGGATTGATCCAAAATGTGTGCTTGCCTATCAATGACCCTCTCTTTTCCACACACCCCAACCACTTTTGGCACGGGAGCTCCCTTCCCTCTCTCCCTCTATCTTCCTCTCCATCTCCCTCTATCCCAGTGGGTTTCACCTATGGACCATGATCTCTTTGGGGGTCAAACAACACTTTCATAGGAGTAGCCTAAAATCATCAGAAAGCAGATATTTACATTACAAGTCACAACTAGAAAAATTACAATCATGAAACAGCAAAAACAGTACTTTTTATGGTCGGAGATCACCACAACATGAAAAACTGTGTTAAAGGGTCACAATATTAGGAAAGTTGAGAACACTGCTCTATCCTTTCTTCCAGCCCTTCTTCCCCATTTTTCTTCTTCCATGCCTCCCTCTCTCTGTGATGCAAGAGATCAAGTCCATGGCTCTACACATGCTAAGCACATCCAGCCACTGAGCAGCATACCCTCAATAGGTCTATTTATACATCTTGTCTGTTACCCTCTGGTTGAATTTTATGGATCTTTATGTGTTTTGGATAACAGTCCTTTCTATATGTCTCTCTTGAAAATATTTCTCCCAGTCCTATAGTTCTCTTGCCTTTTACAGAGTAGGCACTTCAGTGAAGATCAGCTTACTAATTCCTTTTCAGATTTTATATATTGTATCTAAAATCGCCATCATAACACATATTGTCTGATACATACGTATTAATATAACATGTATTTTAACATAAATGTGCATATAACATATGTGTGCTTTAACATTTTCTTATATTTGTAACCAAGTGTTTTATTTTTCTCAGTGACAAGGTAAGTGATTCTGAATTTTAGTTTAAATATCTATTTATTCACTAGTATATAGGAAGACGATTGACTCTTGAATATCAACCTTTATTCTACAGTTTGTTTATTAATTCCAGGAAAGTTTTTTTCCCCCACCAATTCTTTAGGACTTTCTACATATGAACATATGTGATATTTGAACAAAGGCAATTCTATTTCTTCCATTTCAATGAGCATACCTCTTATTTTCTCTGTTGTCTTATTTTATTACAATAGTTGGGATTATATAAACATATATTCATTATTATATATTCACTTCTTATAATATTCATATAATAGAAAATGGTATTTGCCAAAATACAATGGCACAGTGTTTCTTTTTTCTTCACACATCTTATATTTAGCAAGTTGAGAATGACCTATTTGAAAACAGTTTACAGAAGGGACTCAAGATAAGCAAAAGTGTCTACCAACAACAACAAAAAAGTTTCCTAAAATAAGATACACTGTTGAGCCCCAGAGTAGAACAGAGTGATGCATGCATTATCATGCAAGTTCCAGTTAGAAGTTACCTATCTCACCATGGACAAGTCAGTCATTTTTTTCATTGTAAATAAAATAGTAATATTTATCCTGATAATGCTTTTGCCCTGTGAGTTACATGAGTTGTATGTGAAGCCACACAGGAGAAACCTCAAGAAGAAAATGACAAGAATTTCTTGATCTTCCTGTATGGATTAAGTCAGATCCTCTTCTTCATTAATCATTTCTCTTCCTTTGTACTGTGGATTTTGTACGGACAACTGATCAAAAGGTGATGTCAGTTTTGCACGAGGGTAGCTATGCTGTTTGCAGAAGTCACCTAAAATCATTGTCCTGTCTACTTGTGACCTAGATCTTGAAATCTTTAAATATGTTAGCCTAAGCCAGTAATAGCATACTTTGAAATTTACTTAGAAATTAGATGGGAAAGGATACTTCCTCCAGGATATATTAGGGGATCTAAGTATTTCTCAGAACCTAAGAGTAGAGACAGACTAAATTTTTCTTGCTGAATTATGGATTATTGAATAATATGCTATATATTCAGAATAAAGATAAGAAATATTACAATTATTATCTTCCATTAAGTAAATGGATAGACACTATTTTTTCTGTTTAGAGTTTTAAAGTGATGCTGAACAAAAGGAAGATTGTGTTAGGCTAAAATTCCAATGTTAGTAAATTCAGATTTAAAATCAGTAAAAGTAAATATTAGAACTTTTATAATTTTAATATGGAATTCATCAAACTTTTCTATGTGTTATACTTTATTGTGGAATATAATAAAAATACATAAAACATTATTACATTGGTCCTTTAACTCTTACAAGGCATCATCTTACTAATGGCATAAGGCTGAAATTAGCCACCTGCTAAGTAAGTCCTACCTTAAGGAACCCTCTATATTTTCTTTTTAGAGTGTTCAACTAAAAGTACTGCTATTTTCCTTAGTAAATGAAGAATGACTTTTAGAAAATGTTGACAAAAGCACACTGTTGACTGAAAGCCATGTTGAAGTGGATAACCTTCCGCACATGGATGGTTCCTAATCGTGATGTCTGTGGGACATCTCTGTTCAACAGGCCTTGGGGTTCGTAGATAACTTATCCATGGTATGTGAACCAGTCTGGACCCTAGGACTCCATCAAACGCTGCTGTTAATATTGATCATTGGGCGGTGGCTCCTGCCCATTGGAGGAACCATTACTAGAGACCAACTTTCAGAACTTCTTCTGATATTTGTGGGGACAGCGGCCGACATACTGGAATTCACCACCGAGACTCTAAAGGAAAATGATGTCAGGTAAGACCTGATTCTAAGTCAGCACCACACTTCTGTCTCATTGTCTCTAATTTGTACTTTGCATGAATATGGTTTTTAAAGATATCTTTATGTCAGGGCTAGAGAGACGACTTATTTAGTAAATTGTTTGCCATGCAAGCATTAGGACCTGAGTTTGGAACTCCAATACCCATGTAAATACTAGGCATAGAGGTGTGTGTGTATGATCCCAGAACTGGAGATGTGGAGAATGTCTATGGCTCACTGGCTAGCCATTCAAGCCAAATCAGTAAACTCCAGGTTCAGTGAGAGACCCAAAAAGGAAGGTGAAGATCGATAGATGAACATACCCAACATCAAACCTCTGGGCTTCTTGTGCACTTACACACATATGAGGGCACATAAGCACATGTCCACCCATGAACGTGTATTCACATTTTACAACATGTACCATCTATGCACGCGCACACACACACACACACACACACACACACACACACACGCATGCGCGCGCGTGCGCGCGTGTGTGTGTGTGTGTGTGTGTGTGTGTGTGTGTGTGTGTGTGTGTGTGTGTGTGTCCTAGAAACTGGTTTTCATTGTAAAGAGTGAAATGGAGGAAGGGGTCTTTTCCTGAGAATGGGACATGTTATATCCAGCCTGGATTAGAGTAGATCACCATATATTGGCACCAGCAGTTCAGGAGGGTCAGGGAGAAACCACAGTGACTGTAGGTAATGAAGACCCTCTGATGTCTCTTTCGTCTTCAGCCAGGTGGCAGGAGTATAGCAACATTTTCTCTTAGATCCCAGCATAGTTACAAAAGACATAGAGGAATTGTCCCTTTCTGCGGCTGAAGAATTTACATTTCCCGGTGAGAAGGGAGAATGGGGCAGATGAAGTTTTATTGTATGAAATTTTATATTTAGTCAGTTTTGTTCAAAGTGCCCAAAGGCTTTCTGGTGGAGATGCCTATAAATTAAAACTTATTGAGTTGGTACTTTTATTTTTGCCACAAGCAAATAAACCCAGAATCCATGATCACATCTGTTTATGGAGCCACTTTTTTCCCATTAGGGATTTGAGTCCCCGCGCCTGAATGTACTTTAAGCTTGGGTTGTATTGTATGATGCTATAAAAATAAATTGGAATGAGGCTGGCTTTTAATGCTACAGTTTACTTTATCCCGCGCTCTTCAAACAACATAGCATAAAGCCTGAGCAAAACACACCAACTTATTGAATAAATTTAATTTCTCAATTATAGTCTGAATCATTATTTATAAGCGGGGGATATTTTTACAAGAATACTCATTGTTTTGTGCATAATAATTTTTCTTTTAGTTTATTAAGTTGACAATCTTTTATTTGAGGAATCCAATATGAATCAGATCACTGTAGTCATAGTGTTTATTTCAGTCTTGTGGTTTCAATGCCTTATGTTGGTCAGCACTTTACATTGCATAATGCTTTCAGATTTGTTTAGGATAATTATACTACGATGCCATTACTAGAAGAACATGAATGGATTATGATAGAGCACATGAAATAATGAATGTGGATAGTTACAGAGACATGACACCAAAATGGAAACAAATTACCCCTATCTGGAAATGAACACATACCTGCTAAATATCTACAGAGAACAGAGGCAGCACAGGATAGTAAAAGGGCTAGGGGAGGGCTATACTTTATGGAGCTAGTCATAAAATGAGAAAAATCCAAACCTAGTTACCTTAATGGGCTCTACGCGTCCCATCCTGAAGTATCATCAAAGAGTAATGTATCCTGTGTTTACCAATAAATGTTGATTTTTAAATAAGTTTATTTAATTGCTTGACCCTTAAAAAGGACCCTTGGAAGTCACTAGACATTGTTTAAATGACTAAGACTCGTTTGTTATGTAACATGTGCCAGGTACTGTGTTAGGCAGAGCGCGGGGAGCAAAACCATCATGAGCAAGTTATGAACTAAAGAACATGCAGCTCAGCCAGAATGGGACTGTTTTAGTCCAGCAAGAATTTAGGGAGCATTTGATGCTTCAAAACACCATCAATCCCCAATTTTTTTTCTGTCACTTACAGTTCAGTTTGAATACTTTCTGAGTATGTATTTTGGAAAAATTGAACTTGCATTTCATGCAAGTTGATGCTTAATGGGGCTGAATAAATTATAGTTGGCCCTTGTATCTGCAGGCTTCTCATCCGTAGTCAGAAAGTATTCTAGAAATGATTCCAAGTTTTTTTTTATAGGAAGTGTGTGGATTATATGTTAATGTTACACAATGTTTTATCAGAATTTGAGTGTTCTACAAATGCCCTCCCATGGATAGTATAGGATTTTTGTTACAGATGCTATTTTAAAATATTGTTTCAATTGTATTTTCTGAAATTGAAGTCATTTTGTTTAGAAGATTCCTGGACTGTGCCAGTGGCCCTTTGCAATCTCCCATCTGCCCCCCTTGCACCTCCATAACTCTAACGCTCTTCACCCCATGGTCAAGTTCCAGAATGCATCTCGAGATTTTCCTCTCTTTAAACAACTTCCTACCAAGTTCTAAGTTCCTGTCTCAGATCTTACCTATATTGTAAGAAATGTTACTCAAAATGTCAAGTGTGTGTGTGCGTGTGTGTGTGTGTGTGTGTGTGTGTGTGTGTGTGTGTGTGTGTGTGTGTGTGTGTGTGTATGTCCAGAACAAGGAGCTGGATCCCTTGGAATTGTAGTTATAGATGGTTGTTAGCCACTATGTGGTGCTAGTAATTGAACCCAAGTCCTTATCTGCTGAGCCATCCCTCCAGCCCCACAATGATGTCTTATGAACGACATAATTTTATGTAATATAATGTACTTATTTTGTCTTATGGGTCATGCTTCTTGGTGGCATACATGAGAAATAAGAATAAATCTCCAATCAGAAGTGTGTTCCCTTTTCTACCTATGGAACTTCTACCCTTTGTTGTGTGTGTGTGTGTGTGTGTGTGTGTGTGTGTGTGTGTGTGTTTGCTTTTGATTTAATTTTCTGTGCATGTGAAGTAATTGGCATTGACGCAAAATTACTTGTTGTGCCAGCTTGGACTAATTGTCTCAAAAATATTTGTTGAAAATCCTCTGAGTTCAGCTACCACATTTACTCTAAATCAATTGACTCCAAGAGCCCCAAGGAAGCATGTGTTTGTCTTCATGCCAACATCCCATGATTGTCACTGTAGCTTCTGGTGATTTTTGAGGTAGAGTACTCTAGACAATGTGGCACTGCTTTCTAAAAATATTGCTTCTGGTATCCTAAGGCCTTTGCCTATCCACATGGCTGTTATTATCTTGCAAAGTTTTATGAAGAAAAAAACCACAAAAGGAAAACCTTGCGGTCTTGGTAGGAAGTGAGGTGGCTTTAAGGATCACTTGGGGAAGTTCTTTACATTTTGAAGTCCTCTCATAGGGAAGGCAAAAAGTCTGAGCTTAAATACTTTCCAATTCACCTTTGCTTTGAAAGTCTTTCTCTGCTTTCTAAATGGTTTTCCTGTACCTTTTATTATTTCTTATATTCTTTCCAATGGGATATTTTTGCTCTGATTTTCTAATTTTTAGTTGCCTTAGTAAAAACATATTTACCTACATAATGATTTTGTAACCAGCAATGACACACAGAGCTTGCTTATTTTGTTTTATGTTTTTGGTTTTACTATGTGCTAGATCATGCTATTTGTTAACAAAGACACCATGATTGTTGCCATTGTATGTAGGTTCTGTGAATTCCTTTTACTTGTCTTATTTTACTTCCTAGTAGCTATTCTCAATATTGGGCAGAGGTAGTGGGGTTATACATTTCAGTCTCCAGAGATGAGCATTCTGTCTGTCTTTGTCAAGGATGGTGTTGCCATTAGATGTACAAGAGTATCTTTATTAACTTGAGGAAATGTCTTTCTATCTCTAGATTATTGAGGGTTTGTTCTTATGTGTATTGAATATCACAAAGTCTGCCTTCGTTAGTATGATTTTATTTTGGTTGCCCTTTCTTATATTAACAGTTTTTCAGATGTTAAACCCCCTTTGATGTCAGTATAAATTGAACTTAGTTGTGCTGTATAATCCTCTATACTATGCTTTTTGCTCTGATTTAAAAACGTTTGTCTTGTATATGTGGCATGTTGTTTCCCTGTATAACCTCTAGCAGAGCATTGTTCCAGCTTTTGAATCAGGGTAACACCGGCTTTTAGAAACACATCAAGACGCCTCCTCTCTATTTTTATTTTCTGAAAATATTTTTTGCATAATTGATATTATTTCTTTAAAGATTTTATAGAATTCACCAAGGAAGCAATCTGGGTCAAGCCTTTACGGAAGCTGTTTCCTTTTCTTCTTCCTCTCTCTTCCTCACCTGTCTTTGTTTCTTCATTTCATCTAATTGCTAATTCAATGGCATTACTTCCTGTAGGGCTAATTAAATACCTTACATTTGTTATGAGTTTAGCGTATTTTTCCCCTTTCATCTAAGTAGTCCATCTTTTGCCATGAAGTTTTCATACTGTTAATATACACATGTTCATTTCTGTATAGTCAGGGGTGAGCTCTCCTTTACATTCCTGGGTTGAAGAGTTTGTTCATTCCCTTTACTTTTGCCCAACGGGAGATTGGCATGCTTACTTGTTGCATGAGGATTATTGAGCTTTTTTTGTTTGTTTGGTTGTTTTTTTTCTAAACAAACAGCTTGGGGTTTTTACTGACTTTATTGATATTCTGTTTTTATATTTTATTCATTTCTGCTCTGATGTTTGAGCTTTCTTATGATTGCTTTGAACAATTTGCAGTTTTTCATTTCTTAATGAGACCTTAGATTACTAATCTCTCTTCTCTAGCATAAGCATCCAAAGACATATGTTTCCTCTTAACATCCTGTAAATTCTGATGGGTTAGCCCTTTATTTAATATAATTCAAAATAACCTCCAGTTTTTCCTGACATCTGTCCTTGGCTTGTGATTATTTGTAAGTGAGGTGTTTTAATTTCCTAGTAAATGAAGATTCCTCAA